CCGTTGCCAATACCAGGTCCAGTAAGGCATTCCCCCTAGTGGGACCGTGTACCTCCTGTGTCAGGTGGAGGTCCTGTACACAGGTTAGAAACCTGCGTGAGCGGTGGGAGTTTGCCGTCTGCGTCTCCCAGCAGATGTCCGGGTAGTTTAGGTCCCCCATGACTACCGCCTCTTTAGCTTTTATGGTCTCCATCAGGTGCCTCAGGAGCCCCGAACCTATTTCTTCCCCTTGATGTGGGGGTCTGTAGCAGACCCCTACCACCAAATCCCTTTCTCCTTGCCCCCCATGTAGCCTAACCCACAATCCTTCTACTTCCTCATCCTTGGATTCCGTCTTGATGAGGGTCGATGTATATTGCTCATTGACATAGAGCGCAACCCCTCCCCCTTTTTTCCCCACCCTGTCCTTTCTGTACAATCTATAACCCTCAATATGTACCGCCCAGTCATGGGATGAATCCCACCAGGTTTCCATTAGCCCTTCTAAGTCATAGGTGTTTTGTGCAAGCAGGAGCACTAGTTCATCCTGCTTGTTTCCCATGCTCCTAGCATTAGTATATAGGCACTTGAGCCCTGCGACAGGTGCCTTTGCTGCCCCCCTGCTCCGAGTCCCAGTTTGTCTAGAATTGTTCCCAGTTTAGGCAGTGAAGGTAGGCACAGAAGCAACTTACGATTTCCACCTTTCCAGGCCATCTTATTCCGAGGTGGAGGTCCGAGACTACCTGTGGCAGATTCTTATTGCTGTGGAGTACCTCCATGCCCACAACATCCTGCATTTGGATCTGAGGTCTGAAAACATGATCATTACTGAGCCCAACCTGCTTAAGCTCCTGGACTTCGGCAACGCACAGTTCTACACACCAGACAAGATCATGACTATGGACAAGTGCAGGGACTATGTTGAAACCATGGGTGAGTGCGGTACAGCAAAGTTGTGTTGGCGCTAGGTCAGCATGGCCTGGGATCGCTGCCCCTTGGGAAGGTCAGACTGGGAGCAGCAGCTGACAGATGAGTTTGTACCTGCTCTGAGTCCCCTCACTTTGCAGGTGTTACCCTGCAAACAGGAAACTGAGCTTGGCACAGATGCCCGTCTCACTTATGCAGCAATGGAGGAGGTTTTAGTGCAGACTTAAGAACAGACCCCTGCAGAGTCTGGCCTAGCCTGGGCTGCGGCGTGCTCTGAGCCAGCACATGCACAGCCCTTGCTCTGAAATCAGTTGGTTGCAAAGGGGAGAATCAAATAGGATTAGCAGCCTGCCTGAGCCACTGCCTCCAAGGACTGGGCTGGCAGCTCTCAACTCCCAACTCAGGTGATGCACAGGGTGCTATCCACACCTTGTGAAGCCCAGTGTCCCTTCATGGGCATTGATGGACACAGCTGGAGCACATCCAGCGAGCATCCTCCTACTTACCCCAGTGTGACTTGCGTAGCTTCACCACAGTTACCCCAGCTTCCCAGTGCTGGAAGCGAGAGGGGTATTGGGCCCTGATGCTACCTACGTGCACTGCAGCAAATGCATTCATTGCTCAGGCAAAAGCAACCAGAGCAGCCAGAGAAGGACAAGAGATCCATAGCAAAGGCAAAGCTCTGTGGAGTCGTAGTCCAGGGTCCCTCTTAGTCCTTGTGCTAATGCTCCGCTGCAGTGTCTCTTATGGCTATTATGGCTATTATGGGCCCTTTATTCCTCTTTCCCTTGAAACACAGCAAGGATTAGAAGCAGCCCGCAGCTTTCTCTTAGAAACAAAGTCCTGTCTTGGAAGGAAACGCCATTTACACTGATGTGCTTTTTTTAGCTCCAGAGCTCCAGTCAGAGCAAGGAGCCCTCCCACAGACTGACATCTGGGCTGTCGGCGTCACTGCTTTCATCATGTAAGTCGGTCCCTTATTCCCTAGCATCAGCTTTAACATCCCTTGGAGCTTCAGGGGAGATGCAACAGCAGAAAGACACTGAATCAGCAGCCCTGGGGGCCTGTGGCATCAGCTCAGGATACCCAGAGCCCGTCCATACTCCAGCCACACTCTTAACCAGACCCGCCCTTGCACAGCTGACACTTCCAAGCTCTGGTGTCATCTGCTTCCTCACGTTAATGCACCATTTCATAGGCGTTCTCCAAAAGGGACCGGGGATGGGATGGGGAGGCCTCACATTGATTCACCCTCCTCTTTGTCACTAGGCTGAGCGCCAACTACCCGCTCAGCTCGGAGGTGGCCTGCGACTTCCCCAGAATTGCCAGGAGAGGGAAGATCAAGCTCACTCGGTGTTACGCGGGGCTGTCCGGAGGGGCCGTGTCGTTTCTCCAGAGCACGCTCTGCGCCAATCCCTGGTAAGAGGATATGGGCTTTCCTGCAAAACCTCATGCAGGGCACAGCTCTTCTCCCACAGTAGCTAGTAGCGCTCCCCCCCAGCAGGGCTCTGCCTGGTCCAACCTCTTCTTGACACGGCAGCTCTTTCCTGTCTTAGGGGGAGGCCGTCGGCAGCAGAGTGCCTGCAGATCCCCTGGCTGCAGGAGACAGGCTTGGACGACAAGCAGCAGGCAGTGGTCACCTTCTCCACCACCAAGCTGAGGAGTTTCCTAACAGACCGGGAGAAGAAGAGGAGCCTGCTGTGTTCGAAGTACGGCGTGATGATTGCACAGTGAATCCAGGCACCTCCCACCCCTCCATGGACCCCCGCTCATTTGTCCATCAGGGGAATGGCACAGCTGGCTCTTAACTCCCTGGAGGAAAGCAGTGACCCTGATGCCTCAGAGCGGGATTTGTATGGCCAATTCCCATTAGAAGTGAATGGGAACTGGGCATCCCAATCCCCTAAATGGCTGTGAAAATCCTTCCCTCAGTGCTGGAAGACAGCACATAAATACTGCTCAATGACTTCCACCCTGGTTGCCAGCCACGGCTCGTGGACACCTGCCCCTTCAGACCCCGTGGCCCCGCAGCGACGTTTGATCCTCGTTGTTCGGGCAATACTCAGGCTGGTTTCTAGCCTCTCTCCAAACCAGAAGGAGCTGACAAAATATTGCCCTTGAAATGGAGCCCGGAGCTGGTGGGTTGGGCAGAGGAGGCAACCAAATTGTGTCCCAGGGTGGAATAAGTCTTAATTGTTCCCAAGAACCCAAATGTTGCTGTGGGGATATCAGGAGATAGGATGTGTCTGCCTTTCTTCTCAGTCACCTGGGGGTACCTGCAGCTGCCGATAGCATTTGTGCAACCTGCTGTGTCTGCCACAGACCAGCCGGGGCCTGGAGTAGATGTGTACAGTCAGGACCCACCAGCAGCTGGGTTCAGTGTGCAGTGTGCCGTGGTCCTGGATGCCTACAAAGCCTGCGGTTGCCAGTGGGGATCGAATGCAAGAGGAAACCTGGGTGTAGCTTCCCCAGCTGTGAAAAAGCAGCTGGCTACACAGCAGCCACAAAAATGGAGAATGAAAAGCCAGCCACAAAATGGCTTCACAAGAGCACATTATGTGACAGCCAACCTGGCAGTGCCGAGGGGATTTGAGCTAGGGTCCACAGTCTGTAGGCAGCAGCTCTACCCGGTGAACTAGAAAGGAGCCGTCTTGTTCCCAGGCTAGTAGGGGCCATGCTAGGTTGGTCTCCACTGGAAATCGGTCTTATGTGTGTCCTATAGCACAGGACGTGTGCATGGTTTTCTGCTTCATTAACCCTGCTGGCTATCCATTACAGGCCTCTACCTGCAAGAGGTAATGACTGGCGTGGCATCGATAGTCCTCATTTTTCAGGGCTGGGGGCACAGCTTAATCCTTTGTGTGCTGCTCCATCCTGGACGATGGCCCAGCTCGTGCCATCTCAGACACACAAGCCCTTTCTTTTCCACTCTGCAGGGTTGGGGGCACAGTTTATCCCACTGCCGCGTCACGTGTGCCCCTGCTCCCTCTGCTGCAGGAAGAGCAGCCCCACATCTTCTGAGGACTAGTATTTCTGTGAGCATCACCACAGTGATGCTGGACACATATTTCAGGGCTTTCATTCTCAGAGTCAGGAGCAGGCCTACCAGGCACTTTCCCTGGCTTGGTTTATCTGGATTGGTTGTCTTAGAAATATACGCGATGTTTAGAAATACAAAGTTGGTTCTGCCGCATGATAACTCGGCATGTTGCTAAGGGTCTCCCCCGGAGGAAATGGTGCCTGAGGCTCAATGCATTTAGGATTTGAGCCTTGGGAACTCCTTCTCAGAGGAGCACATGCAAGAAGGAAACTTTTGTCCATCCCTGAGACAGTGCTACAGTCACCGAAGGCCATGCCTGGGAGCAGGGGTGCAGGAGTGGTGCATTGCTCGCCTCCCTATAGATACCACTCCCTGTGCTTTACCTCTGTGAGCTGTGCTCTTTTGCAGCTGGAAGTGCAGTGCAACAGAGGAAGCTTCTTCCCAGCAGGTGACTTTGGCAGGATCAGCACTGCCGTTGGCCAAACGCCGGCTTGACAGGTGCTCGTGGAAGATGCTCATTTTCCTTTCATGCCTGCTGTGCCCTGTTGAATCAGCTATGCCCAACACAGCCCCTTCTACTGAAGCAAACTAGCCAGTGCAATGCTTTCGGTTGTGTGTCTTCAACACAGCGAAGACTGCTTCTGCTAGATGGTCAGATAGCAATGCTTGCTTGCTGCTAAATATTTGAAGTATATCCATGTACAATACACCTATTGTGATACTGAATGCACAAGATGCATCCAGGTAAAAGGCACCTCTGCTGAGCTGGTGACTGTACAGTTCAAATGTGCTTTCTGTGCTCCTGATGTATCTAGGTAGATGATACCCACTGTGTGTGCTCCTGGCATATCTAGACAGAACATGTCTGTTCTGCTGTGCAACGTCCTACGTGTATCGGGGTAGATGCACCTGCGGTGGTGTTGGCTGTTTTACGTGCATCTAGGTAGCACACACCTACTTCTGCTGCTGAACGCTCTGGCGTGTCTAGGTAGGTCATACTGCTATGCTGCTGAGTATACCAGGCATACCTAAGTAGGACATGCCTGCTGTGCTGCTGAATGTCTGGGTCAACCATGTAGATTATACCTGCCATGCTGTTGAATGTATTAGGTGCACCCAAATAGGATGCACCTGCTGTGCTGCTGAATCTCCTGGGTGAATCTAGGTAGATAAATTGCACCCATTGTGCTGGTGAATGTTTTAGATGTATCTGAATACAACAGACCTGCTATGCTGCTGTATACACGCTAATCATTGCATTGACATTGTGAAAGCAGTTCATAGAAAATCTGCTGCCTTCAGTTGCCTTGAAGTAGCAGTATCGCATAGGCTAGTCCCCACTATTGCCTAGGGTCCTATTTATCCTACTCACACGACAGTCAAGGGCTTCAGAAGCATCAATGGCCTTGGCATCGTTAGGGAGAGAAATTGCATGTTTAAAGGGATTCTTCCACATAGGAGCCTGGGCTGTTGATGTATACAGATCCTTTGATCTAGTACATGGGAGTGTGCTTTCACGTCACCCTGTGAATGCAGCCAGTCGTACTGAGAGATGTGGGAACAGAGTTATTGGCAAATGCAGTAGGTTTTGATTTGTTCTTAAGAGGCCAAAGCTTCCCAGAGTTTAGTATTTTTTCATTGTTTCGAAAAAAAAACCTGTTGTGGGTTGTTTTCTTTTACAATTAAAAGCTGTTAGTCTAACCATGTGATTCATTTGTGCCTATAATCTCTGTGTACTTGTGAGTGTATATGAAATGAATGAACTACCCATTGGTTCTGTTGTGGTCCATTTCTTGCACAAAATATTGTTTGGTAACTTTCATTAGAAACAATATATAACGGGATGCTTCGCTCGTCGAGCTCTATCTGGTTGTGGTTTGTGGCGAACGGAGGGGAAATCAGTTCCTAATGTATGGTGGCTTCTTGCAAGCGCGAAAGACCAAGAGTGGCAGTAAAATGGTGATGGCTTGTCCAGTCTTTCTGATGGAGCTTGGTCAAACCTCGGCCTCTGTAGCCCCTTCCCATGCTCCTACACCAAGCAGCACTGGAAATGGGGCGGAAAGTGGGGGAGGCTTGACTAGGCTGGGAAGATGGATGCAGGTACAACCGACTCTGAAGCTTTGAGTTTCAAAGTTAGACCGTCTCCACCTTCCACTACAGAAGAGAGATCCTGGCGGACAGGGCCATATTGCAATCTTCTTCGCACCGCAGGAAAATAAGTTTCTTTGGCCCGACACTGCTGTGAGATTAGAAGATAGCCCACAGCTTTGTAAGGAATCTGTTCTCCCTCCAATGCGTTTTCTTATCCAAACCAGAGATGCTTTACCATGGCACGGCCTCGTTCTTTGTTCTGGTGATTTTTCTGGAGGGTGTAGGGGTTGATTTTTTTTTTTTTGGAAGGGAAAATGTAGGTTAAAACATGTCAAGATTGGGGTGCCTACACCCTTCTTACCCGATTGGAATGAAGTGATTTTGCTTCTCCAGTGTGCATGCATTTTGAGCATGTCTGAAGTCTTATAGACGTAATATTGTTTTTGTTAAATAAACTGCCTTGACAATGAAGTTAAGCCAGATTTGTTGCTGAATTATCAATATATAACTATGGTTTGGTAACACTGAGAGCCTTTTGGTCCGTGACATGGCACAAACACCAATGAAGATGATGGAAGGTGTTGCAAAGACCCCACATCGCGTGAGCGATGTGCGAAGGGTAGGTGGGCAGAGTGCAGACAAGCAAATCCCCGTGTTGCATACTGCTGCAGGTTTTGGATTATCATTATCAAGGGACCAGCCATTTACCTCTACACATCTACCCACCTGTCCCTACTTGTTTCACTAGCTAAGGCCTCAAAATGAGTCCTCTCTCATTAGCAGCAGCTCACTTCCAAGTTCTCTAAAGCGTATCCCCACGCAATTAGCTTTAAGTAGAAAATGGCTTTGGCTACCAAAGCCAAAGTTACCTGATTGAGTCTATGGTACTGATAAACCCTTGACAATTGTTACAATATACCACATTGTTCTGATTATAAATTGACCCTTTTTCATCCAAAGCAACCATAAAAATTGCACTCCACTTACAATCAAGTTTGGCCTCGAGCAATCTTGGATTTGCACTGCTTTTGTGCAAGCAATAAAAATACCAAACCAGAATTTCCTGTTGGTGCTGCTTTTACTTTAATACTCTTAATGCATTCAGTCCTTTGGAGTCCTTTCTTTGGTCGTTTGCCTCTCCTGCAGGAGGTTGCACACACAGTAGCAGTTCAAGGATGTTGTCTTGTCGTTAGGGACTTACATTCAGGCAAAAAGGTCATTTATTTGCTTTTTTAAATTGAAACTAAAATAGTGCAGTCATCTTATAATGGGAACAATCTGGTTTTCTATCCAACCTAAACAGACTGTAAAAATAAAAGCTGCATAAGTGTTTGGATGACTCTTCCTCCTGGTTTCAGATTCAACTATCCGCGATGCCACAGCTGGTAAAGCGAACAAAGCTCTGGCTTGCATCCATAGATGCTTCTCCAGCCAATCCCAGGATGTCATCCTCCTGCTGTACTCGGCCTTGGGGAGGCCGCAGCTGGAGTACCGCATCCAATTCTGGGCTCAACGGTTTTAAAAGGACATGGAAAAGCTTGAGAGAGTCCAGAGGAGAGCCATGTGCATGATCAGCGGACAGGAGAATAGGCCTTATGAAGAGAGGCTGAGAGCCATGGGACTCTTCAGCCTGGAAAAGTGCAGGCTCAGGGGTGATTTGGTGGCTGCCTATAAGTACATCAGGGGTGTGCATCAGGATCTGGGGGAATTCCTGTTCACCAGGGCATCCCAAGGGATAACAAAGTCCAATGGTCACAAACTCCTCCAAGACCAATTTAGGCTGGACAAAACTTCTTTACGGTCTGAGCCCCCAAGGCCTGGAATAGACTCCCCTCCAGGGGTGGTGCAAGCACCTACTCTGGACTCTTTTAAGAAACATCTGGACACTTATCTTGCTGGGATCCTGTGACCCCAGCTGACGTCCTGCCCTTGGGGCAGGGGGCTGGACCTGATGATCCTCCAAGGTCCCTTCCAGCCCAAATGTCTATGAAATCTTTTCCGTAGAGCACCTGACAGAGTTGCCTCTTACTTTTCCAGATTAGAGAAAATCCTATTGGGAAAGAATAGCCAAGGTTCATGGACACTCGCTTTGTCCAGCATTAGGAGTCACATATCACTTCTGGTCATAAAGAAGTCGGGCTGGAAAGGACTTCCCGAGGTCACATCGAGTCCAATTCCCTATCCGCGGCGGGATCATCCCTATCTAAACCATCCTACATAATCCATCATCTAAACTCTAAATAAGACTACTGTCAATCCTGACATATCACTGACACATGGCCTCCAGCTCTGTTTGCAGATCAGATTAAACCTTCAGCTAACAAGTGTGCAAGTGTGTTGACTTTCTGTCTCTCTTTATGAAAAGACCCTCCAATTTATTTAAGGCTAGAAGGGGCCAGTGTGATCAGTATTGATATTCTGCAGATGAGGACCCTGAAACACAGAGGGGCAAAGTGAGCTGCCCACCCTCCCTTTAAAGGGCAGCAGCAGAAACACTTGTCTGAAGCTACTTTTGAGGACTCTGTCCATGAGGCAGCAATTCTCACACCTGCACACATGCTTGCACACACACTGTATGTGGTACCATGTATAGAATAAGATTACTTGGCATCCATGGATCCTCTGAATCCTGGAGTATGCGTAGGAGGTCTAGTCAGGTGCCTGATGAGTCTGCTTGTCCAGAGTCCTGCAACCATCACACCAAGCCCTTCAGCGCATGCACCAAGGCAAGAGTATGGAGGAGTAGAGACTGCCCAAGACCTGCCATCCCCCATTTCGATCATGGAGACAGAGTCCAAAGGCCAGGCCAAGGCCAGATGTTCAGTGTCTCCATGTCTGTAGCTTCTGCCAGACAGCAACAGATAAGAGCTGTTGCTGAGTGCCTAACATCTCAGCAAGGATGAACTTCTGTCAGGACGATGCCCCTTCACCTTTCTCCAACCCAGGAGTACCCACAAGGCAGTGGGGTCTAGGGTTTTGAGGCACCCTATATGCACCTTACTCCGGAGGTTGCAATTGGGGTTATTTATAGGAGCCTTGTATAGCCCCACCACATTACCACCGGGCTCTCCAGTTGGATGCAGTACATGGTCACACCCAGGATCAAATTAATAATATACCTGAAACAAAAAAAAAGTGGTATTTTTTTACCTTCCTTGGTAACTGGAAAAAAAAGAAGTGGGTTTTTTTCCCAAATGATCTGTGGTAACTGCTGGCAGCTGCTGGCTTTGGAAAATCAGGCCGCTTGTTCAAACAGGCAAGCCTGGACTTGGGAGCCTAACTTAGCTATTAGGCCAGCTGCCTGCTGGTGGATCTCGCTGGAGCCCTTTTGCCTACACCTGGGATTGTGCAGGTACCCAGCCATTGAGGACATGGCCCCGCACATGTACTGCTGTGCATTGCTATAAGGATTTGCCAGTGCCTATTCCAGTACATACCAGGCCACATACTTAGCTGATGAAAAGCAACACTGCTCCCATGAAGAGACACCATTTCCTAATTTCTAGTTTGCCTGAGAACATTTTGAACTCGTGGATGCTATTTTTTGGCTAGCCTGTTCTTGCACCTTCCTGGCTCCCCACCCACTACTGCCTGCCACTCCCTGATACCATGTGGTTTCCTTGTTTTGCTTCCCTACTGTCCACCTTGGCTTCACAGTGCCAGCTTAAGCCCTGCTTGTTTGCAACCGTGGTGGTTTTTGACCTACTTTACTTGCAACTCGGAGCAGAGAGAACAGTCCCTGAAAGAGCCCCAGGGAGGCAAATGCCTACTTTGTTTGGCAGCCTCAGGGAGCCATCATCTCTTCACTTCTCTGGTGTTTCTCAAATGCCTCCTTTTGCAAAACCTTTTTATTTCAGTTCCTCAGCAACCCTTTCTCTTGCCCCGGTGTTTCTCTCTCTCTTTCTTTTCACACTCTGCCTCTCACCTGTTTCCAATCACAACCTTCTCCTGCCACCAGCACCCCCCTCCCACAACACAAAGCAGGTCCGCTCCACCTCTCCTCCATGGCCCGTTTGCAGGACTCTAGCCCCGCAACCCACCCACCTGGGGATTGTCTTGGTACCTTTAGCTTCTCAAAGCCTACGATGGGTGTGGAGCGTTTCTTCCCTCTAGTCTTCCTGTGTGTCTTTGTGAGGGCTCAGAGCAGCCTTTGAGCAGGGCTCTCGTCTGCTTGAGTTTTCTTGGCTGAGCAATGATCCAGATTCAAGCCGATCACATGAGTTTTGAAGGAGCTGCTGGATAGACCTGGCTGCATCAGGTTTACTGAGTGGACTAAAACCAGGTGTGTTCGCCGCACGGAGGAGCGCAAGCATGCGTATCGCACCCACCCATCCCTATGCCTTTGTGGGCATTAGAAGAGACTGGAAGAGGCTTGGTGCCACCTTGAGTTAAACCGCAGTTCAAAGAAAATCCTTGTTGCTTCTCAGGGCAGGAAGCTTTGGTTATTTCTCCAGCTAGCAGGGTGGGACAGAGCACAGGTTGTGCCTGTTGCTCAAAAAGGGTTTAAGCAGGCAGTAAACAGCCCACACGTGGAAGCAGGCCCAATCAGGTGGTCACATGTGAAGCAGGAGGCCACCTGATTGGTGGAGTGGCCTGGGAGCCTGGGTATAAGGCTAGGGCCCAGGGCAAAGTGAGCAGTTGCTGTAGGGGGCTGAAGGAGCAACATCCCCAATCTGGCTGCCCCCAGCCCTCCTGGCGGTCAGGGTAGGAGCTACAGGGAAGGTGGAGGTTCATGGTCCTGGGGCATGAACGAAAACTACGCCCTGCTGGGGAGGATGGTGTGGTGGGACTGATTGCAGCAGGGCAGCTTCCAGGAAGGGCGAGTAGGGGGTGCCAGAAAATCTCAGCCCCTGCTGCCTTGCAGGTACCCCATGGAGGGGAAAAGCTAGGGGAGCACACCCCAAGAACAAAGCACAGGGCTGAGGCCCAGTGTGTGGAGCCTGAGGCAGGGTCCAGGCCATCTGAAGACGGCCTGAGACAGGGCCCAGGTCCACTAAGTGGGACCTGGGGCTTACAAAGGAGCCAGATGTGATGTTCTGGGGGGTGGGATTGAGATCCCAAGAAGGAGCCAGGTGTGAGGCTCCAGGGGCATGGGATTGAGGCCCCAGTGTGGGGCATGAGGGGACCCAGAGGGTCCAGAGGTAGGGAGCGGCTGGCAGCCCTGAGTGGGTGTGAATAGAGACCCCAGTATGGGTGGTATGATCGAGAGTCCAGTGTGGGGCAGAGGGATTTCTAGGCCAGGCGAGGCTGTGATGGCCCAGCTAAGGGGCTGGCGTGTACTCTTATGGCCCAGATAAGGGGCTTGGGTGTAATAATATATACGGATGCCTGCTGTGAGGCATGGGATAAGGAGAGGTTTGGAGTAGTGTACGTCCCCTTGGCATCAGGACAATTAAGTGGGCAGTCTCCCACATGGGAACAACATAATTATACGTCTAAGGTGAGGCAGGTGGGCGGTTTTCCCTAGATAAGTGGGCAGGCCAACATTTAGACTGGCCCCAGGAGCCCTACTTGTTACACATGGTTATGGGCTCAAGGACAGGCTGACTTCTCCTGGTCTCTGCTGGGACCCAACTCCTGGTCTCTGCTGGGGTCTGTCTCCTCCATCAGAGTAGCCCTGGCACAAAGGTAACTCAACTGCATGAAGGGAAGGCAGCTTCTTCAGGACATTGGACCATGCTCCAGCAGACTCGATTAATTGATGTACTGTATATACAGCATGTTGGAGCAGCCTCGCTGCTAGTGTGTACGCACCCGCTAGGTCCGGGCACACTTAATGAGGTTGAAGACAGTGGCCTGGAGGAGGCTGGCTGAACCCAGTGCAGCTCATGGCACATTTTTATGTAATTCCCATATTTTCTCACGACTAACATGCATCGTTCCACCCCAAAGCCAGCTGGTGGAAATTGGGATGTGCATTGTATGCAAAAAAAAAAAAAAAAAAAATGAATCGTCTGGGTCCAGAAATGTTGTGGCGGGGGAGTGGTGGCAGCATCAATTGCCATGTCATTGGGAGCCACGGTAATCAATGCTGCCACTACGCTCTCATCTACAAATTTCCAGATCTGTGGGGAGCTCCAGGCCAGATTGGGAGCTCTCTGTCAAGGACAGTGTATCTTGTGAGATTCTACCTCCAGATGTGCAAGCGTGGTCCCAAACTGCAGGTGGCTGATCTATACCCTGAACTCCGAAATACTGAGCGTTCAAATGTACACATCACTGACAGCAGTCCTTTATCCTGTTGGACCAACTCAAATGTCCTCAAGATGTTGACTTTTACAGGAGGGGTCTAACAGCAGGATGCAAACACCCTTCACCACCCACACTCGGAAACAGCACTGTTTCTATAAGTGCTTCCGAAACACTCAGAAAACGGACCCCTGTGTCATGCCATGCCCTGGTGATTTTAAGGAAAAGGAGAATATGACCAAAGTAGTGTGACACCAATACAGCACAATCTCTTATTAGAAGGGAAATGAAGAGTGAGTGAAAGTTGCGCAAAGGAGATGACTAAAAGCCAGGGGGACGTGTTAAAGCTTGTGCTCAGTAACAAGAGACTTAGTTGTTCAGTTGAAGATGTTGCCTATATGTGCATGGTTAGCACTGCTTCAGGAACGCATTGGATCTCTGTTCAGGTAAGATTATTACGTTTCTCCCCTCCTCTCTCCCCCAAAAGGTTTTTGTTTTGGGTTGGTTTTTTTAAAACTATCGATGCAGCTGGTTGTACTTGATAACGCAACCTGCTTGCTCTAAAGACACCACTAGGGTCAATGTTGACGTTTAAATGAGACAATTCTGTTTGAGCCAAGTTCCAAAATCATACTGAATATATCCAAAATTCAAGGTTGGATATGGTTCAGGGGTGCAGTTAAAAATAGTTCCCTCTACGTTAGCAAAGTTGATTAATAACTTCATTACACCAGACAGCCTATTTTGCAGTCAGCGGAGCAAATTGCATAGAAGAGTGACACTGTAGATAGAACTTGATAGATCTAATACTATAAGAATCGTTTTTCATTCAATGCGCAGGGTGAGAGCATGGGAGACTAAAAAAATGTTGGGTGGTGTGCAATGTGATTTGTGTCTCCTTAATCACATAACCATAACTGTTTTCACCCTCCTCATCTCCCCACGGCCCCTCGTCTTTGTTAGTCTCAGGTCCTGATACAGCCATTAAGCATCTGTTCAAATCCTGTGGACTTAGTGAAGCACAAAGCAGAGCCCCTGTGAGGGTGGAGCAGACCAGGGTGAGGCTGAAATGATAATTGCTATGGTGATAAAATGACACAATTGCCCTAGAAAAAGAAATCTGAGTTGTAAATTTCTGGCAATGTAAATCAACTTCCATCAACTATTCATTGCCTTAAAAAAAGCAGGTCTGATGCAACTTTTCCATTATAAATAGAGGGTGCTTATAAGAACTGCCACTGATTGGTGAGACCACGGGTCCACCTTGCCCAGTCGCCCTTCTCACAGTGGCAGAGAGCGGATGCAGAAAGGAAGAGCAAACAGGGTAGGACCAGAGTGATTACTGTTCTGGTGTGGTTTTCTTGCTCTGCTGGGGATGAGTCATTTCCATGTGATGTTTTCCCTGGAATATAAGCATCATGCGGCTCCTCAGCGTTCTTGCCCTCCTAGAAGTCCGATCCCACCCTTCCCTTTCTCCGGTGTCCTGGTGTTTCCCCAGATGTTCCTAACTTTTCAAACCACCAGTTCATTAACAGGCTAGAAAACCTCAACTAAAATGTCTAGCTTTGGTCAAACATGACTCGGGATATTAAATGCCATAAATGGGTACAGAGACATTGAGGCTCCTAAATCACCTTGGGCGAGATCTGTACCAGACATAAGACAGACCTAATCTTGGCAGTGCTTTATGCTTTATGGAGTTTCACTCTCAGTTCACACCCCACTTTGACTCTGATGTATTTAAAAATATAGCATTTAACATGCCAACATATACCATGTAAATTAAATAGCTCCTGCTCAGCCAAGTCTGACCACTCAGCCTGGCAAGCTGCCTGCACTTACCGTATGATGCAGAATATGGAGGGTAGAGAAATAAGTTGTTGGAAAATATCTTTGTGCTGGGATCATCCTTTAGGACAGCAAATGTTAGGGCTGAAAGAAACTGACTGTGTCCCTTTAAGAAGAAGAAATGTTGGCAAAAAACAGAATGATGGTTTATGGTGAAGTTAGCCTGAAAATAATTTGCAAATTCTTTGTACTTAATCACTATATAAAAAGCATATTTATTGCTGTCTGACAAATTCATACATATTCCTAAATATACATACTCCATTCAGATTTAAAATGAGTGAAAAAAGTAGAGAACCAGAAGCCCACGCTCAAGAAATTCTACTAGCTCCTATTATTCTTCGGGGAATTCATTAATCTTCTTGCTTCCTTTGCCGGTCTGGAGGCAGCTCCTCCTAGACACAGCCGGTTACGATTCTGCAGCAGGGGGTAAGCAAATTCCTAAAGACAGTCCGAAAGTCAGAGCAGCGTGTAGGTAACAGGGCAAGGTTACAAGTGGAGCTGTGATGTACCTCGAGGTCAACACACTGAGTAGAGAGAGAGGTTGCGGCAATCATTTAACAGGAACGTCAACACACTGAGTAAGAGAGAGAGGTTGCGGCAATCATTTAACAGGCTTGAACCTATCCATGTCCTCAAGCATCACTACTATGGGAGAACTTTTATACTCAATAGCTCAGTTTGACAAGTGATTCGCTAATGAATGCATTTCAAGCCAATACAGAATAGGTGTATGTCAGAAGGGGGCTCACCATCTCCTATTAAAAGCGTAGCCGATATCGAAACTGGATATCATGCACGGGCTGCATCATACCAAATCCCCACCGGCTGGTATTTATGGGAGGGATTTCCTCTTCTCCATTAACCAGCTCCACATCATAGTAAAGCAACATCAAGGCCACGAACAGTTTCATTTCACTGACTGCAAAGAAACGTCCGGGACAGATGGATGTCCCCGCCCCCCAGGGCATAGTAGGGTACTTCAACTTTTTCCCGTTCTTGTAGAAATCTTTCTTGGTGCCATCAGGGTTTAGGAACCGGTTGTATTTGAAGGTGTGAGGCTCAGGATGGATTTCGGGGTCCATCTGAATTGCAACATGGGGGAACAGGGCTATCCTGTCTCCTCCGCGGAGGATGTAGTCTTCCCCATTGGCCATCTTGAGATTCATGTCCTCAATGACCGCTCGGATCAGAATAGGGCCGGCTGCCAGGCGCAGCGTCTCCTCCACCGCGCTGTCCAGAACAGGGGTATTCATCAACATGTCCCTGGTGATGTTAATTGGGGCGCTGCCTGGCTTCACGTCCTGACCAGACTCTTTTACGACTTGGTCCACTTCTTCCCGCACAGCCTTCATGGCTTTGGGATGTTTCATGAGATACAAGAGAAGCCAGAAAGAAGCTGGGCCTGTATTGCCTTGGGAGGCCCAAAGGAGTAGAAACATGAACCGGTCCCTCATGTGCTCGGGGACACCATTCTCTTCCAGGTCCCGTTCTTGGCTTCTTATCCACCCGCTAATGTTATCCTTTGTGTAGGTCTTCTTCACAGAAACCATGTTCCAGAGGAGCTTCTTCAACCTCTCAGCCTCTATTTTATCCTTGGGCGGCAGCACAGCGTAGGCCAGACGAGGAAAGAGAAGGTCGTACTTGCGAAACTCGTAGAAGACCTCTTCAGAGTGGGTGAGATCGCACTCTTGGGCTTTCTTCTTGCTCCCAGTGCCGTTGGTTGGCTCATTTCCAAACAAAGCCAGGTAGCCAGCCCTGAAGACAATGTTGTAGCTGTAGTGGAAGAGCCCATCTTGGCTCCATGGCCTCTCCTCTACTCCGGCACCCAGGCTATGGAGCATCACTTTCTGCAAGTTCTCCATCATGGCCTGAGTCATGACAACAAGCCCATCTCCCATCAGGTACTTTGTGCTTGCCAGCTGAATGATCTTGTGGTCCGTTGGGACAGGATGGTATCCAAAAACCCTCCTGACCAGCTCAGATGCAAATTTCGTAAAATCCAGTTTGGATCTGGATTCCTTCACAATGGCCCCAAAAGAGAATGGGTCCATGACAAAAGTGAAGTAGTAGCCTCCAATCAGCACCGTGAAAATGTCCCCATGCTTTCTCTGCATCTTCTGTAGAAACTCTGAGCTGTTCTTTCTGAAATCTAGCGCGTAGCCCAGCCATGGGATGTAGCCTTTATCCAGGGGAGGCTCTTTGGGTCTTCTCCTGCGAAATACTCCCAAGTGGTGGAGGCCGCCGAGGACGATTGCTAACAGGGTGCAAAGAACTGCTATCCAGATGGCCATTCTTAGGGATCTGTGCTCTGCCACAAGGGATCCCGCCAAACTGAGCAGAGATGATTACACAGTTGTATTTATAAACTGCCTTTCTCACTGACAGATTACAAACCACCGACACGTGGCCTCACTCTCTGTTTGCTATTCAAATTAACCCTGTAGCTAACGAGCATGCTAGGTCTTACCTTCTGTTTCAGTTCATGCAAAGAGCACGGACTTTTTTTAAGGCTAGAAGGGGCCAGTGTGATCAGAGTCATTATTCAAGCAGGTGGGGACCCGAATGCCGAGAGGCAGTGTCCTGCCCACCCTCCCTCCAAAGGCCGGCAGCAGCAGAAACACTGCTCCAAACCCCTCTCGAGGACTCTGTCCCCAAGGCAGTGATTGCTAGAAGTGACCTGATTTCCCAAAGAGCTGGGTGCTTTGTGGTTACTCCTGGAGGCTTCTGGCTGTGTTTGGGATCCTGGACTTGGGATCCTAACCTAGCTATGGGGCCGACTGCCTGGTGGTGGATCTCACTGGAGTCCTTTAGCTTAATGGGGATTATGCAGGTACCCACGCATTGAGGAAATGGCCCAGTGCCTGCACTGTACATTGCTGTAAGGATTTGCCAGTGCACATACCTAAAAGACAACAGTCTTAGCTATAGAGCAACACTGCTCCCAGGAAGCTGCACCGTTTCCTCATTTCATAGAATCATAGAAAATATGAACAACAGCGTCGGCGGCACCTTTTCATAGGGGGTGCACTGCCATGCTCAGGGGGTGCATGTGCACCCGCTACGCGTCAACAATATAGAAAATGAGGGTTGAAGGGACCTCAGGAGGTCACATCTAGTCCAATGCCCTCCTCCAAGCAGGACCAGCCCCAGCTACATCATTTCCTGCCAGCTGAGGACCGATGATGGGTACCTAAACTGTAAGGTCATAGCAGGGAGGACTCTTACTGTCTCTCTACAATGTCCAATGCATAGGGAACCCCTTCTTCACTGGAGCCCGCATAATAGAAGCTACTTCTGCACTGATTTGAAATAACATATTTTGAACTTGCATTTGCTTTTTTGCCTTCTGATCCCCTTTCTGTTACCTCTGCCTGCCTTCCCCTCTCCCCCCACCCTCCCCTGCACCACACTCCCGCTACCATGCATTTTCCTGGTTTTGAGCCTCTACTTTCTCTACCTCTCAACTTCACAATGTCAGCTTAAAGCAGGGCTGGGCAAAATGTGGCCTCCGGGCCAGATGCGGCCCACCAGGCCAATCTATCTGGCTTGTGGGGCCCCTAAAAAATTAAGAAAATTAATATTGATCTGCCCTTGGCTGCCTGTCATGCAGCCCTTTATGGCTTGCCAAAACTCAGTAAGAGGCCCTCTGCCTGAAATAATTACCCAGCCCTGGCTCAGACCCTGTTTCTGTTTGCAACCGTGTTGTTTTTTGACCTACATTGCTTGCAATTTGGAGCAGAGACCAGGCCTTGAACAAGCCCCAGGGGACAAGCGTCTACTTTGTTTGCTGTGTGGCATTTCTTCTCCCCTAAACACCTGTGCTGGTGAAACCACCCACGCACAGTGAGCATTGTCCTCGCCGTCCTCTCCAGTTCTCTGATGTTTCTCTGATCTCTTCTTTTACTTTTCCCAACACCTTTTCTTCAGTTCCTCATCTCCCCTTTCTCCTGCCCTTGTATTTCTGTCTCTCTTTCCATCCTCCTGTCTTTCTTTTCACACTCTGCCTCTCACCTGTTTCCAACCACAGTCCTCTCCTGCCACCAGCTCTCCCCTCCCACAACACAAAGCAGGTCCGCTACATCTCTCCTCCGTGACCTATTAGCAGGACACCAGCCCCGCAACACAACTGCCTGGGGAGCATCTCAACACCTTTAGCTTCTCAAAGCCCATGCTGGGCACGGAGCGTTTCTTCCCCCTCATCCTCCTGCATGTCTTTGTGCAGGGCTGTCTCCTCTTCCTTGATTAAGCAACGATCCAGTTAAAAGCTAATAACATGAATGTTACAGAAGTTGCTGAGCTAGTTGTTGTCACAACCCAAAGTTGTGGTTTTCTTGTTTGTGTGTGCTTCGGCATTGCTAAATTGTGTTCCCGCTAAATTGCAGCTCTTTTGCACGGTGGACCGTTCTGTTGCAATTAAGAACCCACGTGCAGGAATTTTGCCCGCCAGTTTTGTAGCCTTCTTTGCATCGTGCATTTCTTTTGCATTATAGTGATGCACGGTACAAAGAAGTTCCCGCCATTTGTATTGAGATTTCCGCCACATTATTGGCCGATCTTAATATAGGCACACGTGGCGGCTAGCTATTGGCTTGCTAGCTGTACGAAAGGCTTGCCATGCAATCTGCCCATGAAATCGGCCAGCCACCTTCTCGAGTTCAATAGACCCCTACTCATGGGCATTAGAATGGACTGGAAGAGGCTCAGTGCTCCCTTGAGTTAAACTGCAGTTTAAATAAAGTCCTTGTTGCTTTTCAGGGCAGGAGGATTTGGCTATTTCTCCAGCTCCCCTGGTAGCAGAGCTAGCAGTCACGCATGGTGTTGGGTTCAAGCACAGGCTGCCTTCTCCTGGTCTCTGCTGGGGCCTGTCCCCTCCGTCGTAGAAGCCCTGGCACAAAGGTAACTCGACTGCATGAAGACAACACAGGTTTCTCAGGACTGAGCCAGCCTGGGGAAGGGCACGCAGGGAACGGAGCACTTTGGCTGAACATTAGCAGAGGAGTCTGAACTATGACTGCCTGCAGCACCCACCCAGGCCAAGCCGTGGCTTGTGCATCGGGTCTCTTAGGAGATGGACTGAGATGTGGAAGCAAGGTGGATCACAGGACACTTGATAAGAAAGGGGCTCAGTGCAACTTCAGCTGGAACGTCAGCCCTGGGCTTTGGGCTCGGCAAGAGTCCAGGTGTGGTTACTGCGGTTGAAGACAGTGTTAGCATATTTTTCCTTAAATACCCTATTTTCTCACATATAACATGCATCTCTCTCCCTCCCCCCCACCCCAGCTGTAGAAATTGGGATGTGCATTGTATGCAAGAAATATGGATCTCCTGCATTCAGAAACTTGGTAGTAGGGGAGTGATGGCAGCATTAATTACCATGTCACTGGGAGTCACGGTTATTAATGCTGCCCCACTCCCTCACCGCCAAACTTGTGGACCTACAGAGAGCCCCCAGCCACATGATATGGCCCCATACACCATACTGGGCTGGCACACGGGGTCAGTCCACAGCCAGACCTGGCACAGGGAGTGGGCAGTAGGCTCAGTTCTCCAGCTGCTGTTATTCACTTACCCTGAAGTTTTTTTTTCCCTTCATGCTGCTTTTTAAGACCAAGGTGCGTGTTCTATATGGTGGTCTGTTGCATGTGAGGTGTTGTCGGCCAGGTGTTTTCTGCACTGTTCCAATGGTTTCAGAGCGGAGGATGCTCCAAGTGTCCCCAGTCCTATTCCATCCCCATTCCTCTCCTTCCCAGTTCCTGCCCTATCTGCCTTATCCTCTCCTTCCCCACACTGGTGTGATGCCCCTACCTGACTCCTTCCACTGCCCCTTTCCTCAGCTCCTGCCCTTGGTTCGCTCAATCCCTGCATCTGTCCCCGTCGCATCCCCAGCCCACTGTCTCCTATCTTCTTCCTCTGTCTCAGTTTTCTACTTTCCCAGTCCCTTATCCCACCACTAAACATTAGGCCTTGGTGCAATCACAGGATTCCAAACCTTTGCTTGAAGATGCAGCTTACAGCTGATTTCAAGTAGGCACAAAGCAAAATTGCTCATTCATTTTCTGGTGCTTTGGTTCAGTAAAGACTCAGTCTCTGGCTGATTAAAAGTTCATCCCTTAATTCTCTAATAACCTTGTGTCCCAGCCTGACTTTGTGCCTGGGCAGGACATAAATCCAGTTTGCATGGTAGACTGCTGGACTACTTCAGATAAGGGACAAGTCAAGGTCTTGCCTCAAGGCTAGAGCAGCAAAGATAACAGACAGCTGATAAATTTGGACTTGTGAAACATGTACTCACCTCCAGCTCACATACTGCTACATTGGATACCTGTCCCTCTCCAGCTGAGGGCAATTATCCTCAGTCTAGTCCAGGAGGATTTGTCTGGTCTAAGTCTATTCCTGTTCCCCTGGTAGACAATGATAAAAAACCTTATGATTATGCTTCAGGACATGATTATGCTTGTCGTAAGGGGAAAACCAGCACACATATCAAAGTCTGCAAATGATACTTCATTTCTGTAATCTACGTAATCCAGCGAGTGATCACCTCACCTGTGCTGGCAAATCCAGCTGAAGGCAGGCAGCAAAAATAGATTTTATTAGCTCTGTCTGCAAGCGCAGCTCCGAGACTTAGAGTGCCTGTTCCCTACAACTGGAAAGGTGGTAGCACTATAACTACTTCTCCCTTTCCAGGACTACAAGGGCATTTTCTGAGGCTAGGCTGAAATGGTTCAGGCTCTTGTGGCTATGTTAGGGTTGACTAAGGTTGGACAATGGCTTTGTAGAGGATGGTTTGGATAGGGATGATCCTTGGACTACTTGGCCTGTGGAGGTTCCTTCTAGCCCTGCTTGTCAATGATGCTCTGAAAATGATACCTAGCCCTGCTGAGAGCACGTGGGATGCTTGTGAAGTGTTTGGAGCACCTGTCTGTGCAGAGGCACTGCTTTGGCCAATTTTGCTAAGGGAGAACACGTGGTTTTTAGCACAGTATGTGTGTCTAATACCGAAGAAGACAAAGCTGATGAGTGCTGGCAGAGCATAGGGTGCAAGATTAGACCACTTGGGTTGCCCCTCTGAGGCACAGCACAGATTTGAAGTGTGGGAGGGAAGACATGGGGACTATTTCAGCCTTAACTTGCCTCGTTCTACCCTCCAAACTATGCAGGGAGTGTAGATCCACCCAACAAGGCTTGGAGGCCTGGCTATACTTAATGGCTATCCTACACCTTTCCACCTACATTACTGCCTAGCGTCTCTCCAATGCACCTCCCTCCTTGCATTCTGCCCGTGCTCAAAATATTCTCACTGCCAGACCCCAGGCTGGATATGTGGTTTTCCAGTCCTTTCATCTGGTATAAAGAAGCTGGAGAGGGATGATGATCTTGCCCTCTGTGTTTAAATAGGGAGGTGGGTCCAGAAAGATCAGATGCCCTGTGATGTCCTTCCTGAGGTCAACAAGAGACTCTGGCAATCACCCTGGTGACCTTCAAGAGCCGTCTTGATGCCTGTCTTGCTGGGGTCATGTGACCCTAGCGGTCTTTCCTGCTCATGTGCAGGGGGGCTGGACCTGATGATCTAATGATCTGATGACTACCGTCACTGCCAGCCCACTCAGCAACCCTTGCAAAGCCAGCAGGCCAAGGCACTCTAGGGAGCTCACCCCTGCCCCAGCTGTGGAATGCTCTGCGGACAAGGCAAGGGCCCCCAAAGGGACACTCGCCTGCCTCTACACAAATGCCAGAAGCTTGGGAACTAGTCCTACTGCTAAACACAAATAAATACAATGTCATAGGGATAACGGAGACCTGGTGGGACTCCACCATGACTGGGCCACAGGCATAGACAGCTATACCCTGTACAGGAGAGATCGAGTGGACAAAAGTGGGGGGGGGAGTAGCTCTCTATGTCATGGAAAGCTATGCACCCCTGCAAGCCAACATTGGTGCCCAGGGTGAACAACTGGAGACCCTCCGGGTTAAAATCCATGGGGAACACGGCACAGGGGACACAATGGTGGGAGTCTA